GGGCAGGCTGCAGGCGGGAATCGAACTCATGAGGAAGTGGCTTCAGATTCTCAGTGCTGTGCTTTAACCCGCTGCGCCACCAGGGAGGGCCAGCCTTTTTTTTTTTTAGACATAATGCTACTGCACACTTAATAGTCTACAGGATAGTGTTTATGCTCCAGGAAGCCAAAAATTTCAGGTCACTCATTTATTTATAAATTAACTATCATTTATTATAATAGCCACTTTACGGCAGTGATCTGGAACCAAACTGCAGTATCTCTGAGGTGTGCCTATCCATTCTCAAATAGTTGTTTCAAAAAAGGGCCGATGACAGTGGTTTACTCAGTGTTCTGGCATTTCATGTCTGATGTTTCACCTTAACTCCATTCAAATGAGAAGCTGACTGGTGATGGAATTTTGATCCAAAACAATTTTCCTTCCTGCACTCTTATGTCATTGCAGCACTATTTACAATAGCTAAGATATGGTGACAGCTGCATGTCCCGTAACAGATGATTAGAGCCAGAAGATGTGGTCTGTATACACAGCGGGATACTATTCAGCCATCAAAAAGATAAACTCATGCAGTGAAATACGTCAGAAGGAAAAGGAAAGTATCAGATGGTTTCACTTGTAGGAGGAATACAGGGGAGTCAAACAAGGGATCAGGAAAAAAGAGAACTAGCAGGCAAACTCTAAATTCAAGACATTCAGCAGGGGAGGAAGAGGGAAGAGTGCAAGAGATTCTGGAAACAATTCACAGGTGTCTTAGTGATGGTAATTTCTGGGGACTACACCTGAGAGGAGAAATCAACCTTGTACAAAAATGAACAATGATGTCACATATAAACAGATTTAGAGTCCTTCCCTTTCTCCCAGTCTCAGCTGAATGTTCCATAGACCTTTACATTCTGCCATCTAGACTCACTCTTAAATCCACCACCCCGCAAATGGTCTCATAGCTCCTTGTTGGCAGCAATCCCCATTAGCCAGGATATTTATTCTGTTTGAGGTCTACCCCCAAAATAATTATATTTAACATACTTAAGAAAAATCTACCACCCATGGTAAACCTTCTTTGCCCCCAAACAGACCCTGTTCTGCCTTTTTCCTGTCTTGTTAAATGTGATGTGCAGTTCTTCTCCAGAATTGGATAGTGTGTGTCTACTAAAACCAATGCGGTAGATTGTATTCAGACAAATGTGCTTGTTACTAAACTCTCTACCAAAAAAAATACGAAAAAAAAAAAAAAAAAAAAAAAAGGAAATCCAGGGCTCTCCCTCTCTCCCTGGTGGCACAACAGATTAAAGCACCTCATTATGAAGATCTCTGAAGCCACTGCATAATGAGTTCACTCCCTGCACTCCCTGGTCAGGGAGTGACCACATGGCGCGGCAGACCTCTAATGACCCACCTGCTGCTCTCCTCAGCAGTGGACTTTGTCAATCTGTCTGTTCTGTGCTCCCCACTCTGTCTCTGGTGAATCCTTTCACCTACCACACTTCTGGCCTGTATCCTAGTTCTGTAAACATAAATAAATGAATCTTAAAAAAAAGAAAAAGGAAATCCAGCTGTAGTTGCTTGAAGTCCTAGGAAACAGTAAAATATATGAATCTCAATGTTGGGCCAAAACAAACAAACAGACCATTTCCCCAGGCCAGCTACAAACTAGCATTAATTGGGGCATTTCAAAAATACCAGTGCAGGAGACTTACTCCAGATGTATTCACATCTAATTTCCTCGGGTGGTTCCTGTACATCTCTAGTTTCAAAGGCACAGGGTAGAGTTGAAGGGGAGCAGAACATGCCACCCCAAAATATACCACTTTGGTGTATGGGCTGTTTTGGGCTGAACGCAAGAAAGACCCAGCAGATTTCAGAGAACCTTTCACCTCCTTCCATTTATTTATTTATACATAGAACTGGGAGGACAGAGGTGGGGAGGGGGAGTGAGAGGATTTAGCAGAGACAGAGTGGGGAGCAGAACAGGCAGATTGACTGAAACACACTGCTGAGGGGAGCAGTGGTAGAGACAGGAGAGGTCTGCTTTGCCATGTGGGTTAGCTCCCAGACCGGGGATCAAACTTGGGCACAGCTATGACAGCAATGAGACTTAACTCCTAGGCCACCAGGGATTTTCAAAATTCTAACTTTTAAGGTAGTGAGGGAGAGTAAAAGACCTAAAGTGAAAAATTTCATGAGGACTCAAGGTAATGACAGAGCTTGATCAGCTTGTGACTGGATGTTAGCACCTGATTCACTCAAATGGGCAGAAATTAACTTTTTCTAGATTTTTCCATTGTCTCCAAATAGTCTTCCTAGGCACCTTAACAGTGTATTTTTGATAGTAAAGTTTTGATATCAAAACCATGAAAGGTTACTTTAGCAGAAAAAAGAATGGACTTACCTTTTCTACTGCTTTTTTATTAATTAATGGACCTTGAGTAGTTTTTTCTTCAAATCCATTACCAACATGCAGGTTTGTTTTAATTGCTTCAGCAAATTTTTTCACGAAGGAATCATGGATACCTTTTTGCACCAAGAAACGATTTGAGCAAACACAGGTCTACACAGAAAAAAAGAAAAACCTCACATAGATATTTTGTCAGGAGCTATTGATCCAACTGATAGATGTGTGCCTGCTACTGCTTTTCTGAATGTGCAAACACTTCCCTAGGTGTTTCTTGTCCAGTGTGCTCTTATTTTCTTTCCCTGTGGGCTTGGCCCTAAAGATAAGTGCACCAAGCAAGTGCACATTCCTTTCCAAGAACTTGCACAGCTGCCATATCTCTATGGTTAAATAAGTAAGCATATGCAAATATCTGTACACAAAAAAACAAAAAGTCACCTAATCTGAGTTTTTCTAATGACTTGAATAAGTCATTATGGAACAAATAGGGTAATGTCATATATCTAAGAAGGGGTTAATATTCAAGACATGTAAATAACTCATACAACTCAGCACCCAAACAACCCAATTAAAAATTGAGCAGATGGGCCCTCCCAGGTGGCGCAGCGGGTTAAAGCACTGCACTGAGAGACTGAGGCCACTTCCGCATGAGTTCGATACCCGCCTGCCCTGGAGGTGACCACATGGCGCGGCAGACCTCTCCTGACCCGCCCGCTGCTCCCCTCAGCAGTGTACTTCATCGATCTGCCTGTTCTGCTTCCCCTCTGTCTCTGGTGAATCCTCTCACCCTCTGCATCTCTGGCCTGTACCCCAGTTCTGTACGAATAAATAAATAAATCTTTAAAAAAAAAAAAAAAATTGAGCAGATGATCTAAAGAAACACTTCTTCATGGAAGACATACTGATCGCTGATAAACGCATGAAAAGATGTTCTCTGAGATAGAGATTTATTCCTAGGGAGATACAAAGCAAAACAACAATGAGACATCACTTCACACCTGTTGCAAGTGGATATTATCCAAAGCCAACAAGTGTTGGAGAGGATGTGAGGAAAAGGGAACTGTTGTACGCTGTTGATGGGAATGCAAACTGGTATAACCACTATGGAAAGCAGCATGGAGAGTCCTCAAAAAATTAAAGAAAGAAATTCCATATAATCTAGATAATTTACTTCTGGGTATTTACCCCAAAGTTACAAAAACACCAATTCAAGAAGTTATATGTACTCCCAGGTTCTTTGCAACATTACTTATAATAGCCAAGAGCAACCTAAATGTCCATCGATCTGGTAGAGATATTCACAATATAATATTATTCAGCTATAAAGAAGATAAAACTCTGCGATTTGCGACAAATGGATGAACCTAGAGGGCATTATGCTCAGTGAAACAAGTCAGCTGAAGAAAAACAAACATTATGTGATTTCACTCTAATGTGGTATATGTAGAAAACTAATGAACTAAATAAAACAAAAGTAAACTTTTGGAAAATAAGACCAAATAGTGTTACCAGAAGAGCAGAGGGAAGGAGATGGGAAGTGATGACAAAGGGGACAGGGAAATGGTGGAGGAAACTGAATGTTCAGTGGTGAACATAATACAGTATATATGCACATGTTGATTCGCCATGATGCACACCAGGTACTTCACACATTTTTGACATTATGTTACAATGCAATATTATTTCAATTTAAAAAAGTGAGTTTATAAAGAGTGAAGAATGGAAGAAAATCAAAAAGTTCTTTACAGGACATGAGGAAAGTGGTGGGATTCTTGTAATCCTGACAGACAGACCCTGAAAAACAATATCAGACTCACCTGCCCAGAGTTCCGAAATTTAGACACCATGGCCCCTGCTACTGCCTGGTCCACACTGGCACTGTCAAAGACAATGAATGGGGCATGGCCGCCCAGTTCCATGGAGACTCTTTTCACTGAGTTGGCTGCATGGTGCAGCAGTATCTGTAAGCAGAGGAGAAAGCAGTGGGCACCAAAATCAACTACCAGGGCTGGTACAACTTTTTTTTAAAAAGTTCCTTAACAGTGAAAACAATCAAGGGCTTTTTGCATGAAAGGGGTGGGGGCAAGAATATAGATTCATATATGGTTCTATTTGATAAAGAAACACTAGGAATAGGCCCTAGTGTTAATGGGTGCAATGGGTTAAAGCGTAACACTATGAAGCTATTTGCAGCCAGTGCGTAAGTTTGATCCCCAGCCAGGGAGCTGACTCACATGGCATGGCAGACCTCTCCTGTCTCATCTGCTGTTCCCCTCTGCAGTGTATATGAGTAGATCTGCCTGTTCTGCTCCCCATTCTGTCTCTGGTGAATCCTCTCACCCTCACACTACCCTGCATCTCTGGCCTGTACCCCAGTTCTTATATTCATAAATAAATAAATCTTTAAAAAAACAAAAAGAAATACTAGAAGAGAAACTAAAAGTATTAATTTCTAGAAGAGAGAAGTCAGGGACAGGAATGAGGGTGAGACTTCTCCATGTAAACCTGTTATACTGTCTTGATTTTTGTACCACATAAGTCTCCCTATCTCTTTGAAAAAATCATATGATAGATTCATAAATACTAATGTAGAATTAAGGTAATAAAACCACCCAACATCTAGGAGCCCATAGCTAATCTAGAATGTAGCCACATAGATTCACACATATGTACTATTTTAATTAAAGAAAACATAGTATTTACATAATTTTATAATCTGCTTTATCTTCCCAATTGACCATATAATTATAACATCTTAATGTTAACAGCATATTGTTATTCATAATTTTCTCTTTTAATAAAATGGTAATGTGAAGATTCTCTCAAGTTAGTATCTGTGTTTCTAGAATATTCCTCTGAATGCTTGAAGGTTCCACTGTAAGGTTGTTACACAATTCACGTATTCTGTACCTATATGTTGGACATTTAGGTTGTTTCCATGCCCTTGCTACTAAAAATAATGCTGCAATTATTCCCCCAGTACAAATATAAATGTTCCCTCAGTATAAATTATTCCTTCACTATAAACTCAGCAGTTGTAGAATTAATATCTCGATGTACAATTAGGCTTTAACTTAATTTTAGGCTTTTACTTAATTAAATATCCAGGAATATTAAGGCCTAGAAAAGCAGCTTGGGATGCTGCACTGCTTTATTACAGGGTAACAGATTCTCTATCCAGGCATAGCTGCAGGAAAGACAGGAACAACTGGATGGTTCTAATCAAAAAGACAGGGGTCGCAAACCAAGGGTGACTCGGGAAGTAACTCCACAGCAATGTGCAAAAGGCTATGACAAAAGTGATTACGGTTGGCAGTTACTAAAATTGCCTTTATTCCTTCCTGTTTTTAATGGTGTCTAAAAATGACCACAGTTTCACAAAAACTTTCAGTTAGATTTATATTATTTTACCTTGATATGATATAGTTTTCTGTGTGTCTATCACAATTACATATGTGTGTTTATCATATATATAGTATATATACATACAATGTCACACATGCATAGGTAGATATAGACCTATCTACATACATGATATATAAACAAACACACATATAATATCAGCAGAAATATCTATTATGACATTTTTTTCTTTTGAACATTTAAAAGGATGAATATCCATACAATGGACTATGGTAAAGGTTCATGGGTGAACTGGTGGTGGGAATTTTACGTGGAATACAAAATGTAAAAAATATGAACAAAAAATAAATTATGAAGGAAAAATTATCAGGGCAGTAAAAAAAATAAAAGGATGAACATTCACAGGCACACATATAAAGTTTTGGGGAAAGAATTTCTCAATGTTTAAGGGACAAACAACCCAACAAAGAACTTCCTGCATCTTTAAGTACCTCTATATTAAAAGGATTTTTTGTTCAATTCTAAGACATACAGTTCAACATCAAACATGTGTTTCTAGAATCTGTAATTCAGATTAGGAGATCAACACACATGTTAGAGTTGATGAAATGCAACCAACAGCTTTTAGCCATTCTTATGATAGGCCATGGCAACCTCTGCAGCCCCAGTGCTTCTGCAATTATCAATCAAGTAGGAAGCTATGTGCTGTCACAGTGCAGAATGCTTTCCTGAGGACCCCCACAGGAGGGTCAGACAACACTGGAAATGTTCATTTGACCATGTTTATAAATGTCCACTGAAAATCTTCCCACATGTGGTGATCAAGATGAAACAGTATTTTGTTATACCCCCTAAAGAGAAAATGGTAGAAGGATGTCTGTTTGCTTTGAGACATACGTCCCATACCTTTCCGGTTGCTGTAGAGCCAGTAAAGGAAATTTTGGCTACCAGAGGGTCCGTGCACAGCACTTCCCCTACCTCCTTGGCCTTCTTCTGAGAGCAGGGAACAACATTGTATACGCCCGGAGGAATGCCAGCCTGGTTGGCAAGCTGCAGAGAGAAACAGCACACATATGGCAACACATGAGCAATCGAGAAAAACAGAACAGAGAAATATACAAATTTTTTAAAGATTTATTTATTTATGCATACAGAACTGGGGTACAAGCGACAGGTGCAGGGGGTGAGAGGATTCACTAGAGACAGAGTGGAGAGCAGAACAGGCAGATCAATGAAGTACACTGCCGAGGGGAGCAGTGGGCGGGTCAGGAGAGGTCTGCTGCATCCCGTGGGTCACCTCAGGGGCTAGGGATAGTACTTGCACTGAAGTGGCTTGCAGTGCTGCACTTTACCCCATTGTGCCACCAGGGAGGGCTGAAATATACAAATGTTTTAACCCAAAAAGTAATGGGACCAAAAATTAGACCTTGAGGACAGGATAGGAATGTAACTGGACCAGAATAAGATTCTTACTGATGCTAAAGTGATAGAGATATTAAGGTGCTGTTCTGTATCACAAATATTCTCGGGGGAGAGTTTGAATGCCATTTTCTGTTTTAAAAAAAATAAGCCCAAAAGAAAGAAGCTGGATGTCTTTCCCAAGAAAAATCAGCAGAGAGTTCAAGACAAAAGTTATTTGATTCACCTGAAGAATCAAGGGAAGCACATAGAGATAAGCCTTCACTGAACACCTACCTACATAGTGATTCTCTTTAGATCAGGCATGTCCTGAGTGGTTTTCACTTCTGAATCCATTAACAGTGAACTTTTTAACCTAAATCTAACTGGGGATTTTGGGTGAAGAAGACAGTAGCTGTAGAATTTTGAATCTCCCTAGAAATGTAGTAGATCTGCCAGTTTTTTTTTTTTAAATCAAATATCTCTTTTTTAAATTTTTTAAAAAAAGATTTACATATGCATACAGAATTGAGGTAGAGGCCAGAGGTACAGAGGTGGTGAGAGGATTCACCAGAGACAGAGCCGGGTATAGAAGACATAGATCTACACAGTACACTGCTGAGGGAAGCAGCAGGTGAGACAGGAGAGGTCTGCTGTGCCATGTGGGTCACTTCCCTGGTGGGGGACCAAACTTGTGCTGCAGTGGCTGCAGATAGCTTCATAATACTGCACTTTTAACTCACTGCACCGCCAGGGAGGCCCCTCTACACTTGTGTTTTAAATCCACCAGTAAAGAGTGGGCCTATAATACCTCCCGCCATAAAAGCGGGACCCCAGGCCCAAACGCCAACTTCATACCTATACCCATGCTGTCTGGCCCTGGGCTTGCTGTGCACTCTTCAGAATGTGTGAATAATAAGCCTTGTTTTTCCAAGTCCCATGACAGCTTTTGCTGAGGTGCATTGGTGATCATAGTAAGAACCTCAAGGACTGGTCCAGCCACATGGACTCTGGCTGAGGAAATGTCTGCGGGGAGCAATCTGAAGGCCCAGGTGAGCACCTCCAGGTATTCTAGCCCATTGTGTCACTATCTATAGGCTGAGACAGGCACTAGACACTGGATGACAAGGTATTTCCACAAGCAGCAAATTATAAGTGGGTGGGGACATACCACTCTCAGTGACAGGACCTAGGGATCATCTTCCTGAGAAAAAGAAGAGGGAAGCAGTAGGCTGAGTGATAGATGATCAGAAGAGAACCCCAAACTGCCCGCGGGTGTCTATGGCGGCTGATCTGGGAACAGCAGCATTCACTGCTCAGCTCAAGCGCAGGTAGGTGTCAGGGACTGTGCAGTAAGGGCTGAAAGGCGGGGGGGGGGGGGGCCCACAAGCCCTAGGCACCCGTGGGATGGAGGAGAAGGGAATCGAGTCAGGGAATCTTCGAAAGTGGACACCAAAAGCTATGCTGTGAAGTTAGAGAAGCTGTCTTCCTCTGGCCTCCTTGGGAAAACTACATTACAAAACTAAGCTAAATTCTCAGGAAAATGCTGGAGTAAAATCCCATGTGAAGTTATTAAAAGAAAAAAATATAGACTACCAAACAGAAAAACTTCTTCGTAAACAACAAAAGAAAATGTGAAAGACACGCCCGCAAGATAGAGCAGAACTGCAACGTGTGATAAGGTCTAAAAATACTGACATGGACCCAAGATATAAAAGAACTGTGCGATCACAATGAGAAATATTAACAAATGAGATGAGGGAGCACAGAAAAGAGATGGAAATAAAAGGAAAAAAAATGACTTCAGAAATGAAAAGCAAACTAGAAGGAAACCACAAAATGGACAGATAATAAGGAAAACAGTGCAAGAGAAAGTTTGTTTTATATGGGTGTTCTTTTTTAAAACAAAAAGACGCTGACAGGATGCAAGTATTTTACAATTATTTAGAAGGTGAAGACACAGGCCTTGCAGAGAAATCTTTAGCGTTTTCATTTATGACCTGTTATTTTCTGTGGGTCTAAGAAGTTGCTTTTTTCCTTTGAAATAACCTCTCCATTTCTAGCAGGTTAGAAAAATGTGGTCCTTACCATGTCCCATCAACAGAGGTGTGTTCTTCAAATGAATTTTGTAAGTCAGTGGCATCTAACAGTCCTACGTGGGTGCTGGCTCAAAACACTAATATTAGAAGGAAATGCATTGTTAGCTCCATTTATGCCTCTGCAGGTTAATAAAATGACTTCAATCAGTTTAGCTTCTCTATGACTAAAATGAATGATTTGCTGCTAAAATAAGGTGACTTTTGGGGGACATACCCCTAAGGACAACAGGAGCTTCTGGTCAGTGGACCTGGAACCACAGAGGACCCTGGGAGCCCAGAACATCAAGTGTTGCAACATTTGTTGCAATGATACTCAATGAAGGTCATGATGAAGGTTAACTGTGGGCTTTTGAAAGCCTTTGTCTGACCACAGGGCAAAGGTAAGAGCAGCAACACAGGCTAGAAACTGATACCCAAAGATTATCCATGGGCCGATCCCAACCATCCTGTCTTCTAAAATGAGGGTCTTCCATAATGGGGGCATTCTTCCTGGCTGTGACGTCCAGCAGCGTACCCAACCACCTCCCAACCTCTGCAGAGCTTCACATTCTTGCGGGGGCAGATATTACTGAAATGACAGGGTAAATTACCCGTCATGTTAGCTGATGTGGTAAATGCCACGGGAGGAAAATAGAGCAGAGGAGGAATCAGGAGTACATGGGTTTGAGCCTATGACTGTCAAATAGGGTGGTGGGGATGGGAGGAGGCCTCACTGAGAAGGTGACATTTGAGGTAAGACATGAAGAAGGAAACTGTGGAAACACCTGGGGGAGAACTTTCTAGACCAAAGGCAAAGCCAGTGTAGAGTCCAGTGAGCCTGGTGTGGCCCTAGCACAGAGGGGCCCAGGCTGATGAGTAAGGGGCTAGGGGATGACAGACAAGACTCATGGGGTCAGGGAGGCACATCGTATAGGGTCTTGAAGGCAACTCTGGGAAGTCTGGATTTTCCTCTGAGTGACAAAAGAGGCTAGGAGATGGTTTAAAACAGAAGGCAGACGAGGTCTGCGCAAATTCCCAAGGGAGTGGCAAATTAGTTCTCTAAATGTGTCACATGCCCATACTTTAGTCATACACTCTGCATGCCTGCTTAATGAAAATGATGCAACCATCTCACTTTTAGGGTAGCCCCCCAAAGAAAAAGACCTTTCCTACAGTTGTCACAGAATGTCCAGGGAATACTTTTTTTCCCCTATAGAGAGCAACATCTGCTTTCAAATGAGGGCTGCTGATGTAAACACCACCATAACCTGGTCCTGGGTGAGATGCAGGCTGCCAGAGGCTGGAAGGCTGCGAACCAGCCTCTCTGTGTCCAGCATGAATGAATACCCTTTGTGAGGCCTGGTGGGCTCTGCACAAAGGTGGGGTGGGAGGCTCACCTCTGCAAGGGCCAAGGCGGAGAAGGGCGTATCCTCAGCAGGTTTCACCACCACAGTGCAGCCAGCGGCCAGGGCGGCCCCCACCTTCCGCGTGATCATGGCACTGGGAAAATTCCACTGGGGTTAGAAGAGCAGACAAACAGTGAGAGGAGACATAGGCGCCTGGTCCAGAGGCAAGCAGGTCAGGCAGCTGGTCAACACACTCCATGCACAGGACGAACCAACACTGTTCTCTGGCTCTCGCACAGGTGAGCCCTCGGCACACCTGTTACTGGAGGGTCTTGGGAGGCAAAGGGTCCGAAAGACAGGAAACATTTTCAGATTTTAAAGAGCACATTATCCATATCGGGGGGTGGGGGTGGTGGGACACAAACTTTCTGTAAAAACTAGTGTGGGATGTAGTTTCCATGGCCACTCTTAACCTATGCAATTTTGAAAATGGCAGATGATGTCTTACTTTCCCCTCTCTCTGTATATTTGTAGATATCTGTAGATAATTACAAATCTGTATTAACAGTGTTTCGACTAATACCAACATCATGCCAGACACTGGTCTGAATACTTTTAACTCTTATCCAAGTTTGCAAGTTTGGGGAAACTCAGACAGACCACTTAAGTAACTTGTCCAAGGTCACACAGCCAGTTACCAGAGAGCCTGGATAAAACTCAGTGAGTAGAGTCAGTGAGCGGGGTTTTGGATATTATCAATTATGTCAAGAGACACAACCTCTTATTTCTTAGCTTTTTTTTTTACCTCCAAGACCTGGGCCTCCAAGACCTCCAAGGCCTGCTGAAAGGTACACAAATACCTTGCTGTTTATCAAAACCACCCATCAGGTATAACTTTTTCTAAAATGATGGTATATTCGTAAGACTGGGTCCTCTCTGAAGTCTTCCAAAAAAATAACCATAAAGGTCTTTTCAGAGGCCTAGGAAATGCCAAGAGAAGGCTGAGGCCAAGTCAGCAAATGCTTCTGAGTCCTGCCAGGAGTCATCCCATTTACCCAGGCCTTGGGGAACTCAGCACACCACACCCCACATTATCACAGAGGATCAGAAACACACCTCCACTTCCAACAACAGCATCAGGAAGTCCAGAACAGGTGAACAGGCTAACACGATTTCTTCACCAGGAAGAAAACTGTTTCCCATCTCCCACCCTCATGCTTGATGATCCTGCCACTGCATACCGGGGTGATGATGGCAGCCACACCCAGGGGCTGCTTGAGGACCAGCGCCCTCCTCTCTTTTGCTGGAGGATAGATAATGTCTCCATAAATGTGGCGGGCTTCCTCTGAAAACCACTCCAGGAAAGAGGCGGAATAGAGAATTTCTCCCTGTGCCTCCTTCAGTGGCTTGCCCTAAACAAAACCAGAAAAGGACATGTTTATTGTCAAGTAACGTGAGCCTGAGAATATGTCTCTAAATTCTTCAAGGCTGCAAGCAGAGTAAGGGAAGTTTCCCAGGAGGAAATCCCCCAGAGCTGCTGAGAAAATTTTAACTTCAGTATGGAGTCTTGGAAAGAAGGGCGAGGAACATAAGCTAGCCTCCAACCTTGACCCCAAGAGTGATTAGCATCCTCATTACCTTTACGAATTAGGAGGTGAGGACTAAAACTCTACCTTCTAATCTTGTTCCACTTCCATTATCTTCCACATACTCCTATGGAAGACAGCCATTTAGGCCCACCATGGAGATGCTTCTCGCATTTGAAAAATGTAAAAAAACTCCATGAAAAACTAAAGAAGCAGCCACATAGAAAAAAAGTGGGGGCCTTCCCTGGTAGTGCAAAGGGTTAAAGAGCAGCACTACAAAGCTAGCTGCTTCAGCACAAGTTCCATCCCCGACCAGGGAAGTGACCCACATGATGAAACAGACATTTCCGGTTCCTCCTGCTGCTCCCCTCAGCCAGTCGGCCTGTTCTGTCTCTGGTGAATCCTCTCACTGCCCCTGCACCTCTGGCCTGTACCCCAGTTCTGTATGCACAAATAAATAAATCTTTAGAAAAAGAAAAGAAAAAAAAATAGAATGATGAAGAAAACATACACTTTCAGCTGTAATTATCTTGGCAAGGTCATCCTTATTTTGTATCATTAAGTCGTACCATTTCCGAAGCAATGAACTCCTCTCCTGAAAGAGATTAAAAAGGGTGAACTATAAAGTGGAAGACTTTAAATCACGTGTAACCTCCTAAATAATTAGCTGCTTGGTCTCATTCTAGGGGAGACATACACTGACCATTCGTTGATGAACAGTAAGATATGTTACCACCTTGCATGAAAAGGAGTAAACTGAGTCAATCTGTGGAAACAGAAATGAAGTCTTGTGGAATAGCTGTCCCTGCTATGGAAACTGTGAACAACTTTAACTGTAGCACACACAGGTACAGTTCCTTATTTTTTATATGATCATACATTTTCAATGATGATAAAATATACAGAATATAAAATTTACACTTGACATTCAGGGCTTTCCCTGGTTGTATTACCATCTCCACCATCCATTTCCAGAACTCCTCATCTTGCAGAAACTAAAACTCTGTCCCCATTGGATGATTAACTCCCCACTGCCCCTTCTCTAGCCTCTGACACCCACTACCCTACGTGCTGTGTCTAAGACTTTGACTCTTCTAGATATTTACAGGCCTCGACACAGAAGAGTAAGTCCTTTGTCCCCCGAAGAAAGAATTTACCAGGCAAAATTCCTTCTAATAAGTCACTGGTAAATTGGATTAGTCCCATAGACTGCTGCAGGCTGAGGGTGGGGGTGTGTGAGGTGTCAAAAGTAGTTTACACACTCAAGAAAAAGCCCCAGGCATAATACTGTAAATATATTATTGCTAATGGCTGTACACTTTTCTATGGCTAGCGTGATATATAGATTTTATGTGGTGTGCATTTTACCATGATTAAAAAAATTTCAAGGAGTGCAAATGAATAAAAGGAAAGTTTGGATTATTAAGAGTATGATGAATTAGTTTCTAAAAATATAAACATTAAAACCAAAAAGGTCATTTATATTAAAAGCATTTAAAAATAAAAAAGAAGGCCCTCCCTGGTGGCGCAGCGGGTTAAAGCACAGCACTGAGAAGCTAAAGCCACTTCCGCATGAGTTCGATTCCCGCCTGCCCCGGAGGTGACCACATGGCGCGGCAGACCTCTCCTGACCCGCCCGCTGCTCCCCTCAGCAGTGTACTTCGTCGATCTGCCTGTTCTGCTCCCCACTCTGTCTCTGGTGAAGCCTCTCGCCGCCCCTGAGCCTCTGACCTGTACCCCACTTCTGTATGTGCAAATAAATAAATCTTTAAAAAAAAAATAAAAATAAAAAAGAAGACCTGGAGCACCCTGGCCAACCAGTACACACAGGAGGGTTTGAAAGAAAGTACGTCCCACACCTGCCTCTGAAACCAGGAAGAGTCTCTGGTTTACTCTTCCCTGCCTGAATAACAGTGTGTAAACACGATGGACCATCTCTCTCTGGGTTCCAGCAGTTTCTATTGGGTTGTTGGAAAAGTCCTGACATATTTTTTCCTGTTTTTCAAGAAACATTCATGCAAAAATGCATCATGACTTTTATGACAGCCCATATTTTGGCAAGGCTCGGAGCTGTGTTAGCTTCCCTCTCTAAGCTGTAGTTGAGATTAAACGTCTAACTCTTGGCCCCTCAGAAAAGAGGCATCTCTCCCAACCAGATTCCTTTTTGTTTAACCTCAGGCTGACTAATCCAGGTTCAGAATCTGACAGCCCAGGGTGCTGGGGGCCATTGTGGGTGAGAGAACAAAGACCAGCAAAGACTAGGAGGCCTGGCTCAGAGAAAGAAAGAAAATATCTGAATAAATGACCTGCTAGGAATAAATCACTATACTCACTCTGAGAAGAATATGAAACAGCAGAGATACAAGAATAAAAGGTAGGGGCCTCCCTGGTGGTGCAGGGGTTAAGTCGCAGCACTATCAATCTATCCACAGCCACTGCAGCATGAGTTCGATCCCCAGCCAGGGAGCTGACTCACATGGCACAGCAGACCTCTCCGGTCTTGTCTGCTGGTCCCCCAGCAATGTATTTCAGTAGATCTGCCTGTTCTGCTCTCTACTCTGTCTCTGGTGAATCCTCTCACTCCGCCCCAGCACCCTCTGGCCTGTAGTCAGATCTTGTATGTGTAAATAAATACATCTTTAAAAAAAAAAAAAGAGTTAAAAGTAGATTCTGCTTGCTGGTAGAAAACACGATGTCTGGAGCAAACTCTGAAACCAGCAGGGGTGATGAAACTCTTGTTCTGGACTGATCGGTTGGAGTCCTAGCCCCCACCCTCTTATCTCAAAGAGTGACCTTGTTATGGACAGGGGCTTTACAGAGGTCATCAAGTTCAAATGAGGTCATAAGGGTGGGCCCTCACCCAATGCCAGGTATCCTTGTCAAAGGCGCAATGCCTAGGCACCTGGGCACAGAAGCAGAGGGAAGAGGGGAATACATGGGAAGACGGTGTCTTCTACAAGCAGCAGAGAGGCTGGCACAGATTCTCCCCTCACCCTCATGAGATGGGACCAGCCCTGCCCACACTTTGATCTTAGGCTTCTAGCCTCCAGCACTGAGAAAAAAACATGCCTGTTGTTTAAATGTTGTCCCACATTTATGGTGCTCTGCCACACAGCTTATCTGACAGTCTCACCAGGGAGTCTCTCGGACATCTCAGACTCCACGTGTTCACAATGGGTCCTGATTTCTCACTGCAACACTGCTCTATGTACGCTTCCCTACCCTAGCTGGTAGGGACTCCTACTTCTCAGTGGCTTGCGGTCATCATGGACACCTCTCTAACTCTCTAATAATCTTACAGGTGCTTCTACCTCCAAAAAATAACTGGGACTGCTTTTTACAGCCTCCGCTGCTACCATCCTAGCTCAAGACAATCTCCTCCATAAATCACTGGCAGGTCTCTGCACTTCACCAGGGGCCCTCAGTCTCTTCTTAGTACTGTGGTCAGAGTCTCCATCAACAGGTAAATCAAAGTCTCTGTCTGTTAATAATGCCGAATTGAATCCCTACCTCTCTCAAAGCGAAAGGCAAGGTCCGTAGCACCACTTACAGGTCCTTAGCATGACGTACAGGCCCCTGGATTGTGCGCTCCTCCATCGTTTCTACAACCTCTCTCCCCACTGTGTCTCTGTCTTGCCTGTTTGACAGATGTTCAGGAAGTATGTTCCTCCTGACTGGGGATGTTTGCTTTGGTCCAATCCCTCACCTCCTTTAGTCCTGGCATCGCTTTTCTCAGTAAGCACAGATTATCTGGGCTGAATTTTGTGCCCTTGCCATGAAGAGGTCAACATCTTAATCCCCAGTTACTGACAATGTGACTGCTTTGGTAGGCAGGGTCTTGAAAGAGCTTATTAAGGGGGAAATGAGCTCCCTAAATGGGTCTCAACCCAATGGGACTGGTGCTTTACAAGACGAGATGGGGACACAGGCATGCAGAGCAAAGACATGTGAGCACATCCAGGACCACTACCAAGCTACAGACGAAACTAGCCCTGCTCACATCTTGACCTTGGACTTCTAGCTTCGGAACTCTGAGGCACTAAAATTCTACTCTTGAAGTCACCCAGGATGTGGAAGGGCAGCTCTAGCAAATAATACACCTGCCCACCCTGCATCCTATCTCTTCTGGTGCTGATCCTCTGGGCCTGCTCTGCTCTTTCTCTGCTCATATCAATCATCACTTCTAATATGCTTATGTGCATATTAGCATATCAGCTTATCTGCATATTCCTTTATAGTACACACCTCTCCTCCTGCCCCTCCAGCCCATGTGAACTCCTAGGGCTGGAATATCTGTTGACTGAGGTATCCTAGACAACCCCACTAGCATGGCAAACAGCAGGCCCTCAGCAAATATGTGACTGGGAAACGAATGTTAAGGCTCCCTTGGGGAACTGGATTCACTGCTGGAACTGTGTCTTCTGAGGGAGATGAAGGGAGCAAATGATTTCACAGGGCTAGCTGGCTCCGGGTGTCCTAATAATAGTTTTCTTCTTGTTCTACTCTTCCCAATCTAACATCCCCATATTCTGCAGGGTTGTCTATGTGGGTTAATAGCAGTATCTCTCCATACAGGTGAAAAGCTGGAGAACGGTTCTGGAAGGCTCCTTTGCCCTAGGCAAAGCCTGATTTGACAGTGCTCCAGTCCAGAAAACCCATGGCACTCACCACGAGCCTTCTGCAAGGTCAGGCAGGAAAGATTTCAGATGCTCTTAAACACCACATGTGAGTCAGGCCCCTCGGCTCGCTTATAATTGTCCAAGTTCTGCCTCCCTTTACCGGACACTTTCGATGTCTGAGGGCAGACCCTATGTCCCTAACGAGTGCTACGGTGCTTGGCACACAGCCAATGCCCTAAACTTATTTACTGTTCATCTTTTTTTCTTGTTTCTGTGACGTTCCGCGTTGGGAATCCTGGAAAACGGGGAGGGTGGGGGAGGGGTGTCGGAGGGAATAGCGTGGAGACACCGGTTTCGCTACCGGTCGAAACCTGCTTGCCCCTGCGACCCGGGGG